TATTTTGCCATCTTTTTTTCCTGATTTCACAACAAGTCTGGCATATTTCTTAAAAACACAGGGCAAGAGACAGGAAAACCACCATGATTTCTTATCTAGCCTTAGGGACAAATCTGACAATCAGCCATTGTCTCTCTGGGGACACAGAGGCTCAGTGGCTAAGATCCTGGGCATGTTGATCAGAAGGTCGGCAGTTTAGCGGTTTGAATCCCTAACACCTCGTAATGGAGTGAGCTCCCATGACTTGTCCCAGCTTCTGCCAACCAAGCAGTTCGAAAGCACGTTAAAAACTGCAAGTACAAAAATGGGGACCACTGTGGTGGGAAATGCCTTCGGCGTTTAGTCATGCCGTCCACATGACCATAGAGATGTCTTCGGACAGTGCTGGCTCTTCAGCTTAGAAACAGAGATGAGCACTGCCGCTAGACCTGGAAATGACTAGCACGCATTTGTGAGGGGAACCTTTACCTTTACCTTACTGTCCCTCTTTCAACTCTAGGGGGGAAAAAATCACTGTAAGCCAGTTTCAAACCTCATTCCAAGAAAACTACAGGAACTTGTCTGGGCAGCCATCAGGAGTCAAGATTGGCTCAAAGACAATATAAATATGTCTTAATTTGAGTATTAACATGAACCACTGAACATGTTATATGTTTTGCACAATTCTCAACTAGAGGTAAAAGGACTCCCCAGAGAACCAGTCTCAGTCCAATGCCTGGCACAGAACTTGCCACCTAAGTCACAAAAACTGTCCAGCCCTAGCAAAGCAAGTTGGCTGCTCCCCAGCCATCTGGATAATAAGGAATTTGCTCCTAGTCTATGCCTGAGACTATTCTGCAAATACTATCACATATTAATTGAATATCTACCATCAAATCAAGGTTGACTCTTAGTGATCACAAATTGAATAATCAGACAGAATCCTGAAATTTAATCGAGCTATATGATTTTTCATGGAAGCCTATTAGAACCCTTCTTCTTCACCCATCCTTACTTTAGGTTATAAATTTAATTTCTGACTGCACTGGCTGGTAAGTGCCCTGATTCAAGGATTAAAAGTCAACACGTTCCTTTGTGCTGTATTGCTTGTAAGCCACATAGAGTTGTTGTGGTCAATGTATATAGGCAGCTGTTCTGTCCCCCCTTCCTCGCTCGTTAACAGATGACAGGCACACAAACGTAAAAGGGAATAACTTTATCAGTCCTCGGCTCAGACTGGCTGCGAGCCCAAAAATAAACATAAACAAAGTCTCTGACGAGAAGATAACAGAATACAAAAGAAAACTCTTACAAAACAATTCACTTCTCCAAGTGTCTCCTTGAATCAGGGTTACAGAAAGCAAAATAATTTCTCCAAGTGTCTCTTACAAATCAGGACCGATGAATGCTGAACGAATGAATGAACGTTGACTCCTACAACCAGGGCGTGGCACCATCCGTCCTTTTATCATCAGAAGACTCACTAACGAGCCCCAGCTGCATTGTTAAACTTGCATCCCAAAAAGACTCACAGGAGACGTCTGCTGAGTCACAACAGGCAGCTATATACATTCTCTAAACACACACACACAAACACACACACACACACAAACACACATACCCTTTAGTACACCTGTAAACACGACCAAAGCAATATGATAAAGTCAGAGGCCAAAACATAGTTCTTGGAAATGATGGCTTATAAAACATTTACCCATTAGGTCATTGTAGAATATCTCTCCGTATTCTTTGTTCACAATTTCATTGACTTTGATTGTAGTGGAGCCTTATAGAGATATCTGACTGCACCAAACAAAGGCTAAACTAGTGGGGTTGTAGATGCTTACTTATCTGCCTGACCATATCTAAATAGCTCTGCACTTTTAACTGAGTTCTCTGAGAGAGATTCATACTCATATTTACAATCCAATCCTTGGTTTGCAATCTCATGAAGCAGAATTCTGGAAGTTTATGCTCGATACGAGCCAGAATACTCACAACTGGATTTATGATTTTTCAGGCTGCATCAAAAATTCTAGCAGTTGCCAATCACTTGGAGCACAGAGCACTCCATCTCCTTCCTGGTTTATCTTTCATGAATTGCAAAGAAATGCCTCCATAGATTCAGTGAAAGTATCTTATCAAATGTTCTATGGCTTCAATGGCCATGTCCTCTAAATGTGCTAGCTCATTCTTTTTCTAATTACATTTCAGCATTTCAGGGTAGGAGGGAATAAATATGAGTTCTGTTTGATTCCTCTAACAATAATAGACTTCGGCTGACCTGAAAAGCTAAGCATAAGAACTGTAAATTAAAGTAGGAAGAAAAAAAATTATTGGGAAAAGTGACAATGACCAGAAAAATACATCCATATATTTATGAACCCATCAAGAACTGAGGAAGGAAACCTTAATATTGACTCAAAGGAAACCTTACCTGAACACTATTACATCAATAGCCCGCAAGAAACTAATAGATCATACTGTACTTTAGCCGAAGGATAGTCAGGCAGATGTGGGTCTTTCAATAAATCATGCCTTAATGTACATGTGAACACAACCAATTTTTGTGCAGCTACTCTTTCTTTTCAGGGCTTAACAAACAAGGTTTGGAAATCCCACTGCACTATTCTGTCTAACAGTATTGTACTTCTTAATGCTACTGAAATATTTCTTTCAGAGGTATCCAGGTTATGGATATTTTACATTTGTAAAGTGGAAATTTTTCAGCTAAATCTTTAATGTTAATTTGCATAATGAATATCAATTGACAATGCTAATTTAAATAAGAAGGCATTCAAGCTTGGGAAAATGAGCTAACTGTTGTAAGATGTACATTCTATACAGAGCATTGCTAAATAATTGACCAAAATACATCTTTTGAATCTAGCTCTGTTTTAATGACACAATGAGTGACAGATATAATTAATTGCATCATTTTTACATTGTAGCTTTCAGGGAAGATAGTAAAATGTGGTTTATGGGTGAAAATGTTGCTATAGTTTCTTGCTCACTGGAGTCAGTGGCAAAAATGCAAAATGGAAATCATGAATCTTCATCACAAAGCAAAAGCAAATATTTTACTTAGCATATTGTGCATAATATGTGACCATGGTCAACAATTCACATGGTTATCTTCTCAATAGCCAGGGATGTATCAGATTTCACAAAGATTTCCTACATTAAGTCACAATTCTTTCGTTTGCTGTTTGCCCTATGGCTACTAAACTTGATTGGGTAATTTTTTTTAGATTGTGTAAGTATTATATCTTTTTTTCCATAATGTTATTACATTGTACATTATATTTACATGGTGTTTCAGTGCTAAACCAAAACTCTTTATTTTTGTGTACACTCTTCTAAAACAGAAGTTGCTGTTTTAGCAGAAGTGAGTAGTGTGACTAGGCTTTGAGAAGCATCTTCCCACAGAGATTTCTCAAAATCTTTTTGAACTCTGAAGAATTTATTCTAATCATATCTGCTATTAAACCTCCCATCATTAAGGCTCTAAGGGAAAATTACCTCCCTTCTTGGATATCTAATCATATTTTAAAACAATGATGAACTTTTCATAGATTTTATTTATAACATTAGAAAGAGTGTCTACACATTAACTACAGGCACAGTAGCAGAATAGAAGTTTTACACTAAGCAAGCAGCTTCGAGTAACTATCCTTACTGCACCGTTTCCAATTGTGCTCCTTCTACTTGTTTTTGCCAATGTCAACATGTTTTTTGTGGCTGCTTTTATGGACCAACCCTTCAAAGCATTGTTCTCCTCTCATCTCAGCATTGTTTTCTCCTTGGGCTTGATCTTCAAACTCCTTCTCTTCACAGGTGAAACTTTCAGCTCTTCACATCAAGTTGATGTAGCTGTCAATCATCACTCTGGTGTTTCTTTATACAAAGGTTCCTGTCCTTCCTTCTTCACTGCTGGCTACTCTTTGTAACTGGAGGCTGGACAACCTACTAGCTCCAAACATCCTTCTTTTCCTTTCTCACTTTTTCATACACTTAAAGTTAGGATTTTAAATGTGTTTCTGAGCTGCTTTTTATTTGTTAACTAGATTTGGAAGGCCACCAACTCAAACAATGTGAATCAAGGTGGTATTGGATCATTATATTGCTGCTACCATCCAACCATCTTCTTGTCTTCCACTTTTTGTCTTTCAGGCTGAAGCTAGTTTAAACAATAACCTAGAATCAGCATTTTTAGAATAGAAGAGAAGAGAATAGGTTAGAATAGAATAAAATAGAATAGAACAGAACAGAACAGAACAGAATAGAATAGAATAGAATAGGAATAGAATTCTTTATTGGCCAAATGTGATTTCCATGGTTTAGTATGGAAATCTAACCATTTTTATTCTCCAAATCTGTATTTTCATCTCAAAAGTTTATGTTTTTTATGTCCTGCTAGGTATCTGTTGTGGCCCAGCAGGATCCGGTTGAGCTGCTGATGGACTCAGATAGTGAGGAACCATATGAGTCTTCCAGGGAAGATGTGGAGGACCCTGGGCAGGTTTCAGACTCAGAGCAGAGACCAGAGAGGCTGGTTGGCCACTAGGAGGCGCCTAAGGCCTGGAGCAGTGGGGAGGATTCAAGACAGTTTGTTCTTGACGCAAGACAAAGAAGGGCGGAGAAACGGAAGCAGCAGCTGCGGAAACAGACTCAGAGACGATAATTAAGCCCAGGACCTTGTGGCTTGACCCTTCCCAAGAGAGTATATAAGTGAAGAAGTTGGGAGGGGTCATTTGCAGGACACAACNAATAAAATAAAATAAAATAATAATAAAATAAAATAAATCAATTTCTACCTAGATACAAGCTAAGATCTAAAACTCTTTGGGAAGGATCACTTTGGAAAGCTAAAATTACCTAAAAACATATATGTACAGAAAAATATATTTTCTGGATACGAGGAAAACAGACAGAAGAAGCTCAGGCTTTCCAATGAAGAAAATTGGGAATGCTAATCGGAAATGCTAAAGATGATACTGTTCAATTAAAATGAAACTTACCCTCCTAAAGTAGTCAGCCAAGTCATTGGGCGACCAGCGGATCACTTCGGAGCGATAGGGTGTGCTTCGTAAATCCATTTCTGTTTCTGGTTAGTTAGTTAGGAAGCAAAACATGTTAATCTTCGGCTGTGACACACTGTAGGAAACCTCCTCAGCAGCAACGGAGACAGGAAAAATGTGTCAGATCCATGAAATTCATTTAAAATAAGTTGAACTCCTGGCTTTGGGCTTTTCTTAGAAGTGTGCTGCAACTGAAGACAGCAAAGCTTCCGGTATGAGCTGAACAGTCTCTTTCTCAGAAAACCTGTCAGCAAGCAGTTCAGTTTCACCACTTCCTTTTCTGAATCTAAATGCATAAATAAGAAAACAAGGTGGTTCAATTCCATTATTGCAACAGTGGGGTCTGAAAATCACGTAATGTATTTTCATCATTCTGCTCAAATGTGAGAAGCTAGGGATCAACACAACTGGGGGAGTTGGTGACTTTGTGGGAAAGAACATGATAACATATTGAAACGGCAGAATGGGAATATTTTTTTTTTGTATTCATGATAAAAAAGAAAAAAAAGGGGGGAATCACATATAACAATAGGAAATGAAGAAGCCAGAATCTGTTTTCCTCTGTTTCTCTCTCAGAATCACTTGAATGAAATTTATTGTATATGTAAAATAGCATTTCAAAATTTGACATTTGTCTTATAATTAATATAACCATCCTGCTCTGGGATGACAAGACCCAGTTTGTAAATACTGTATCTCTAGTTCTTTAGCAAAGTTGAAAGATAGCCAAAGATCAAGTGCATAATTTGAAAGATTATGTTGATCCACTGAATGTGCCTAGTCTTATTTATTGAAACTTTATTGAATAAGCCACAATGATCTGGCTTCACAGTAATAATAACAAATAAAAGAAATAACATTTAAACTAGAAATTGTGATTTGTAAATAAATATCCCGGATTCAGATCACACTCAGCTCATTTTGATTCAGTATAATGGATAAGCGTAATCAAAGATGTAAGCACAAATATGCCTGTCTCAAAGACACCATCCTAATGTCATGTTGCTACAAAATGGAAGGACTTGTGTCAGGAAGGAAGGAGGGAGGGAGGGAGGGAGGGAGGGGAGGAGGAGGAAGGGAGGAAGAAAAGAGAAAATAAAGAAAAAGAAACAAATGGAGGAGGAGGAAGAGAGAGGAAAAGGAAAAAGATAGAAACCACAATTGTACAACTGCAGCTCCATTTTCCACTTTTTTGGTTCCATCCCTTCAAATGCCCATTCAGTTCAACTTCAACAGTTAGTCTTCCAATATCTTTCAAGTACTGTGCACCATGCTATGCAAATGCAAAGTAAAGATGTGAAAAAATAATAATAAAGAAATAGAATGGGGGATCATTAAATCTAGACTGTTCTTTGTGTTTATTATTGGATGATGTAAACGTACATTAAAAAAAAACGTTATGTAGATCTCTTCTAGATTTCTGTTTTCACAATTACATTAACAACTGGGTTGGCATCCATTAGATGTTTGTGCAAGTTACATGTCTTAACTCATCCTATGTTACAGTTATGAATATTAAAATAGTATAATTATATTTAAACATGATCTTTTTATTTCTCTTTCGTACCAAGAAATAGAAAAATAAATAATATGTAGTGCCTTGCATTGCCACAAGAGTGCAGTCAAACTGAAGTCTTCTCACATATGTATGAAACTTGTTCATAATCTGAATGAGGAAGATTTCAGCATTAAAACTTGCAAAACACATGCTTTGCAAAACACGTGTTGTCACAAGGTAGAGGGAGGGGGAGAGCCTTCTACAAATATTGAGTCCCCACAGTTCCTTGTCTGCAAAGGTATTTAGGAGAATACCCTCTTTATCTTTGACCTCGAGTTTTTTNTAAGGCAAAGTTATAAATATAAACAATTGGTTTTTTTATGCTTATGAACCACTTTCATATTTGTTCTCTTTTTAGATTTGTCCTTTGTGTTTTCCAAGAAAATATGGTCACTTGGAAGAAGCTAATGGATCATATGCTATTTTCAGAAGTTTCCAAGTTCAATCGCCAGCAACCTCCAGGTAAAGAAACAGGTAAGAGAAGGAAGATGAGATCCATCACCTATTAATATTGTCAGCTCATACTATAATGGAGAACCACATGAAAGAAATTTGACTTTTAAGATGCAGAAGGCATGTAAATCAAGCTCTTTCAGCAAACACAATATTTTGTGGCTTTGTGTAATCTTTTGTGCAAAACTAGAATGTGCAAAAGCTGGTTGTCTGCTGAGATTTTTTCATAAAAACAGTATAGACCACAAAAGGCAATGCAAGAAGGGCATATCTGGAGAACACAAAAGCAATTAATAAAAAAAAGAAGAACAAAAAATCCATCCTCAAGTTTTACAAAGGGCTTAATCGGTACATTCATTTGAACTACACAGAATTGTACTCTGCTGCTGGGCCACTGCAAAGTTGTCACTCGAGCTTGATTATTCTTGACTATTGCCTGGGGGTATAATAAAGCTGAAAGAGACTAATTGAATCTGTCAAGGCTAGAAGACCTGTAAGTCCAAGGTAGTGTAATTGTCAGTGCTCCTGCTGTCTCCACTCCACTCTAATGAAGTCTGCCACTTGGTTTAACTTCTCTCTGACTGCTAACATGGTATTCATCTGCAAAAGCACATTGCTATGAGTTGTAGGAAAAATAAATTAAGCTGTCGTAGTCACATAGTGGAGTCAAGGCAGGAAGTGCTATGTCTCCTGAAAGCTACATCAAGCTGAGCCTGAACTATTGGCCCTAATACTGTGGGGTTACTATTTGGGGTGTCTATGTATTACCTCGTCACTTATCATAGTTAACATGGTATTAAACAGAGAGTGATTGACAGAAAGGGATGGAAAAATAGGAGGAAACCTAGTGAGACTACAAACTATTTCTGGAATTAAACTGTTTTTAATGCTGCCTACTGTTGGCTCTAAAAACCATGTTCAAGGCTCTGCAGTATACTACACAATCTATGCACCCTGTAATTCAATTTGGGGGAAGGGGAGATGGCATTTTATGGCAAACACAAGCAGCATTCCATATTGGCTACACAGTGTGTAGCACAGCAAAATGGAGCACAGCAAAAACTTTTTGCACAGTGGTGTATTAACCCCTAAGCACGTGCTTAGGGCACCAGGCCCAAAGGGGCCACCACAAAGTTGAGAAAGAAAGAAAAAAACTAATGAAGATTTGTACAGTATGTACAAAGGGGGTGCACCAAGATTTGTCAGTGGTTAGGGCAAAGTGAGCTTAATCCGCCACTGTCTTTGGAATTTGGTTCTTATCTTTCTTCCAATAGTTAAAAAGCTAAAACACCAGGCTATGAAAAAGAAAAGAAAGCACAACCAAATGCTTCTTTTTCTCACTGGGAAATTAATGGTGAGAAATGTGTCTTTTGTTTTAAAGCTTTTAATCATGGCCCTCCAAATCAAGTGTCAGCTAAGCTCCAAGCTTTGCTTTGAGGAAGAAATGCTGTCCCCCCCCCCCGCCCCCCCCCTCTCTCCCTCTCTCCCTCTCTCCCTCCCTCCCTCTCCCTCTCTCTCTCTCTGAAGAATGTGTAGGTCAAGAAAAAAAAAAGAATTAGCCTTGCCTTCAAGGCCTAGATAGATTTAGATCATGAAACAAATTGGATGTAAATAATCTGGCCCCTCGTAACTTGAATCTGGAATGGCAGTCATTCACTCACACTTTACAGAGAAACCAGATGACTTTATTGCCAACTGGTAGAATTCCAAGCTTTTATTACAGATAAGTGGAGAGAGTGCAACAAATAATAAAATAAAATAAAGTAAAGTAAAGTAAAATAAAATAATAAAATAAAATAAAATAAAATAAAATAAAATAAA